AGCTGAAGGAAACTCTGCTTGGGTTGGTTCTACACTGAAAAATAGCTTTGCTGTTTGTAATCTTCCAGGGACTAGTCTACTGACCGGTACTTTGGGATTCCAGTGAGACAGAATCTGGGATCCATGTCTCCCTCCTCTAAGTGGAGGAGATTGTGTGGGAGAGGGGCGGGTGTGTTTTGTGCAAGGGTTTGGTACCGAGTGCCAATTGCACTTCACCAAATAAGTCTCGCTCGGCCTTTGTCAGCGCTCAGTCTGCCTGTGAATCTGTCTGGAATCCATTCCCCACAGTGCCATCTGTTCATGATTGTCCTACCATCTGACCATTTACCCTTTGTTAACTCTCCTCCTCTGGGCACCCCCACTGCCAGTTGGAGTCCACCCATTGTCCAACCTGGAAAAACTGAGTCTGAAGAGAGACAGGACAGGAGAGGGGGGCAGGGACGTTCCAGCAGGATGGCATTGGAGATGGAGATACATCTGGGGGTGGGGGTGCTGTTGTGCCTTTGCACAGAACCTGGGGAGAGAGCATGCGGCCAAGTCAGAGCCATATTGTACCCAGGCAGTCTGATGGCTTCACAAATAATATTGATGGCTTTTGTTTGGAAACTTTTGTGAAGGTTTCCCATTTCCCAACAAACCACGCTAAATGCTGGGCCTCCCCCAAGCCACTTGCCTTTTGCATGGTCCCGTGGCCAACTGTGCAGGCAGATGAGGCCCCTCAATGCTAATGAGGGGAATGGCTGGCATTCCGGAGGCACCCAGGCTCTGGGCACCCCGCCTTTGTTGCTAAGGAGCATTGGAACTGTAGCTGAAAGGCTCTTACAAGAGGGGGAGTGAGGAGAGAGAGGGAAGAAAGACATGCATTTGTTTTCAGAGCCTCACAGTTCTCAGGCCAACTCCAAAGCTGTCCAATTTCTGATCCCAATTAGAATACCAACCCCCTGCTATTGTTTCTCTTAATGATCTTGGGAAATTCCTCTGAAGAGTCAGCAGCGAGCACTTAGCAAACTCTTTGGACTGTGCCATCTCTACCGAGGTGCTTCTGGTTACATGAATAGATCATCAAAGCATTCTGAAGGCATCTTTTATTCCAGCAACCAGATGTGGCACAGGAGCTGGGAGAATTGGAAGAGGACAGAAAGGTAGCAGGGTTTTCAAAAGGTTCCTGTGGGAACTCCATTCAACAGGCGTTTACCAGGTGTGCTCTTGGTGCAGAATCCAGGTTCTATGCTGGGTGACTGACGGAGAGGAAGATCTTGACTCCAGCTTGAATTTACCTCCAGACTTGAGGGAGAGACAGATCATACTAATGAGAATTCTGTGGGTTATTTGCTTTAACTGCGACCTTCATGGTGGTATTGGACTCTGAGTCCTGCACAGCTGGGTTTTAATCTTGGCTCAGTCACTCACTAGCCATTAGATCATGGGCAACCACATCTGTTACTGTGAACCTCAGTTTCTCATCTGTACAATGGGCAGAGTAGCACCAACCTAGTTTGTTTACTATGAGGAGTAAGTGCAGGTAGGAGAATGAAGAACAGGAATGTGGGAAACTCTCTGATCTCTGGGATCCTATAGTCAATGAGCTATATGTTGGTTGGAAGGTTCTGTACCTGGAAAATGCACTTAATGATTTGGCACATTGAATGGGGTAAAAAGTGAAACACCACGTAAGAATAAAATATACTAGACTGTCACTATGGGCATGTCCATGTGCCAGTTACAGTGCTAGGCAATTTGCATGCATTATCTCATTTGATATGAATGGTGCTCTTGGGTAGTTAGTGAATTGCTCAGGGTTACACAGTAGGAAAGTCTGCCTACCTGTGAGTTCCTTTCTCTGTCCTCTTTCTGTGCTTTTTCCATCTTTAAAGGCTGAGGCTCTTGGAAGATTAATGCACACACAGTTCATTCTGTGTCTCTCCAGGGCCTGCTGTAGGTTAGCAAGGCCACTGCATGCAAACCCCTATTTGAGAAAGTTCTGCCAGAGGTAGCTGATGAAGCCCCAAGATTCCAGACTTTCCTACCCAGCATTTATTAGAAGCTCACAATGACACAGCCATGGGGAGTATACAAAGTTCCACTTATCTGAGAAACAAAAGATATAATATGGATTTTTTCATAAGCAAACCCACAAAGTCCCAGCATAGAAGTCACAGTGACTAAAGCATAATGACTTCATAACATGCTCCTGTTTGGGACAGTGGTTTGCTTCATAGCCAGGCCTCATATAACCTCAGTTGTCACATTGTCCCTTGATAGCTACAGTTTTCTCTGTGACTTAAGTTAAATAATTTTGGTTCTTTTAATGTTTACTCAGAGGAAAAAGGAATGAGTACGTACTTTAGCAATGTGTAAGTCTTGCAAATGTGCATGCACATACACACTGACAAAGATTCTCTTCTTGACTAAAGTCTACTCACCTTACTTCCCCCCCTGGTGGGGTCTGATCATCCTGGCCTGGCTTCAGCAGATATCCTGTCAGGTAGTTTTAGTTGGAATCCCCTCTCACAACTGATGCTTCATCTTAGTAATTTTCCATACAACAATCCCTGTGCCCTGCTTCTCATGTCTATAGATTTTCACTTTTCTTTGTTTTATTTGGAATTGAGCCCAGTATTTCTTTCCAACTGTAGACGCTGTTGCAGTAGTCCCTATACCTATTGTGATAGTTCTGAATAAAAGCTTATTTACCATTTTCACAAGTGTCAGAATGTGTTTTGCTTAACTCACATACACACATACACCTGCACACACACATGGGGATAAAGCAGTGGAGAATTCTAGACAGGAGATGATTCACAAGCAATTGTCACTTGGAAATAGAAGGACAGGATACATCTCAAAATGTGTTTTTGCAATAGTAGTGGTCTGGTCTCTCTAGGACTTTTCACACAGACAATTGTTCAAAGTTTTTTGAACCTTCCTGAATGTTCAGCCACTAAAGAAAGGTACATCCAGGGTCTGGGAGTATAATTCAATGATAGAGTAACACACATGCATACACAAAAGAAAAGAATGGCATGTCTACACTACAAGGAAGTGTCCAAACGGCATTGCTTTCAGTGTTTATAATCCTCCTGAGAACAGGGGTTAACAACTCCCTTTTTATAGATGAAGAAGCTAAAGTTCAGGGAGACCAGCAACTTGCTGAGGCTTCTAGCTCCTAAGTGCAAAGTGCAGGATATGGGCTGTTATCAGGCCTATTTTTTTTTTTTTTTTCTGTTTGCTGTGGAAGTACAGCTGGCAATGGGTCACTGAGGATCATAGTCTGGCCGCGGCTGTCCGGCTTATAGAAATAGTCATTTAGCCATCACTTTGGGATTACAGGTCATCAAATGTAGTCAGAGCTTGTGCTGCATTCCATGTAAGTGGAATGCCCTCCATTTGTGCAGCTCGGTGGTGCTGAGGCCAAAGAGCAGCAACTGTATTTATGTTGGACATAAAGAATTGGGCAGGGTAAAATCACCACTTTTGAGGACCTTCTGAGTTAGTTTAATAACTCTGATTTCATGTTTAGGGCCTCCCTTGACTCCGACGGCCTATCCAGCCCACTTTCCTCGGACATGAAGTTGGTACCAAGTCATGCTTAGGTTGCCCTCTTCCAGTGCTCTCCAGGCTCTCTTCCTCTGCAGACTATTAACTGGCATAATTAAACAGCTTTCTTACCTTTCTCTTCTCTGGGTCTCTGTTTCCTCATCAGTGAAATGAGGCTGTAAAAATCTGTCTTATTGAGTTGTCAGAATTGGAGGAAACAAAATACATCAAGTTCCTGGCACACAGTAGTTGCCCAGTGTATATTAAATTGCTTGACCTAGTATTCTAATTTTTCTCACTTGGCATTTTTGTAGAATGTGAAAGTCATGTCTGTTTACTTACTCTTCTGACCTAAAAACAGTGAGCAGGTCCAAGGATTCTAGAATGATAGGAGAGTGATCAATGCATCTCAAGAGACATTTTTATGGACAATGCAAGGATTATAAAAACTAACGCATTTATTTTAGTGAGTTCAAATGGTTTTGTTCTTGAAATTTTGTTAGTAGGTTGCTCATGACACCACTATTTAAAATTGATAAAGGGAGAAGCTCAGAGACTTTTCTGTTTGATTTTTCTCCTTGACTTAACTCATCCTCCTCTCCCCCATATTGATTTGAAGATCAGTATCCAGGTCCCACTGAGTTAGTGATGAGCTGAGGCAACTTGTTTTTGAAGTCCCAAGCTGGTGTTCCTTCAACAACCCCTAGTTACCTGTGATGTGGGTTACATGGGTGGGGGATAGTTCTGGGGAATTTTCAGGATAGAACTATGAGAACTGGTAGAATGTTTCACCTGGTTTTCCTGACTCAGGAGAGCAGAAGAGGTTACCTATTCTCAGAATCTTTTGTCTCAGGAGTCCTTTCTCAACCCTTCTAACCATGACTCTTGGAAATATCCCTAGAGACAACATTATATTATCTAGTTTTGCACTGTAGAAGATACTGTGCTTGTTCAGAAAGCCTTGCTTGAAGTTATTCTTCTGCTTAGTATTAAGATAATGTTAGTATGTTCTTCTTAGAATAGCTTCTAGGGTAGGGCCTATTTATCCATGCAAAAAATGATGTACTTATGTCTACTATGCACCAGGTGCTTCAGGGAATCAATTACATCTGGCATGTATTTTTTGCTATACGGAGCAGTGAGGTTTGCAAAAACAGTTTGATGACCAATGTCGAAAAAATATCATACATGTCATATTAATAAGTTTTATTATATGAGCATCTTAAGTAGTTGGGTTCTTGCCACATCAGAACAGAAAACCTGGTTTTCTCTGATCATGCAGAACTGCACGTGAGCAAGCATCAAAAACCAGAATCCAAGAGCTGGTCAAAAGCATCTACCATAGCTGCAATGGCCTCAACTCCTAGAAAGCCTTCACCATTGCTCTCAGGCTGGGGAGAAAGATGTGTCTGGGTAAGAAGGGAGATAAGAGAAACATCTGTTCACACAATATGGGCTTGTTATCATAGCTCCTTTAAGTACCGCAGTGCTGGCTCCAAGAGCATATTTTCTCCAGAACGGAATCTCCGCAAGGCCTGGTCGATTTTCCGAGGGCTCAGAGACAGGTTGTAAATGAGATTGTAGTTGTGAATGAGGCGTCTGGCTCGTTCCTTCTCCAGAACTCCTGTGATTGGATTGGAATGGGTGGAGGTTTTTTTTAAAGAGGAAGAGGAGAACAGAGAAAGATATACATTAACTTGAATAACTTGTAGGTAGACACTAAATGCTAGTATTTTGAAACCATAAGCCTCTTAAAAATCAAGTGACACCTTAAAAACTATTTATATTCCTGGATATGCATGGGTACTGTCCTTGGGAACAGAGAGGACTAGAGAAATGATGTTACCTCTGGAAACTTCCTGATCTGGAAGACAAGTTATGCAGACAGTAAACATCATGACTGATATTTATATATAGAACTTTCTGGGTTCCAAGCACTGTTCCAAACAGTTTTTTCCAATATTGACTCATTGAAACCTCACAACCACCCATTTCACAAAGGGAAAAACTGAGGCCTAGAGTGACAAAGTCACTTGCCTAAGGTTGCTCAAGGTTAACCACTACACCACACTATGGAATGAGAGAGAAGAGATTGCTTCCTAAATACATTTCTTGAACTGTGAAGATTTATGATACAAGTGTTAATGAAAAGATTTTAAATACCTTTTATAGGAATGAAAAGTGCATCCCTTGCATGTTTCTCTTCTATTCCCTTTACCTGTACAGACTGTTATAAGTGATTGCAAAATTCTTCCTCAAACAATCCAGAGGCAGTGCCGTGGTCACTTTGTAGCAAGGCATTGTTAGCCCAGTTGACATGGGCAGTGGTGAAGGCTGTCATCCCAATTTAAGTTACCTAGTACTATTCATATTTTTATGTGCCAGGACTGCTGGGCTTAAACCTCCCCTCTCAATTACTCGCAGGGGTTATTTCTTTCTTTCATTTGTAGTACTAGGGGGTTGAACCCAGGGCCTTGGACTTGCTAGGCAAGTGCTTACCACTGAGCTGCATCCACAGCCCTTTTTTATTTTCATTTTATAACAGGGTCTGGCTGAGTTGCCATAGTTGGACTCAAAGTTGTGATCTTCCTGCCTCTATCTCCTAAGTAGCTAGGATTACAGGCATATGTCACAGTGCCCAGCTTCTAATGGGTATTCTTTTTTTTTTTTTTTTTTTAGAGAGAGAGAGAGAGAGAATTTTTGATATTTATTTTTTAGTTTTTGGCGGACACAACATCTTTGTTTGTATGTGGTGCTGAGGATCGAACCCAGGCCGCACGCATGCCAGGCGAGCGCGCTACCGCTTGAGCCACATCCCCAGCCCCATAATGGGTATTCTTAACAGTGGGCTACAGAGTGGTAGTTCTAATGTCACCCATTCTGTTCTATTCATTCCATTCCAGTTTACTGTCCAGTCTGTTTTGATTTGTGTGTTGTCTATTTAGCCTATTTGATTGTCCTAGACTATTTGAATCTCCTTCTTTGTATAGGCCAATGCTACAAAATGAACAAGGCACTGCCTCTGGATTCTTTGAGAAAGAATGTTATAATTGCTCTTAATAGTCTGTACAGGCAAAGGGGGTGGGGAAGAGCAAAACTCAAGTGATGTATTTTTTGTCCCTATAAAAGATATTTAAAAGATTTTCATTGACACCTGCAATATGCATCTTCACATTTCAGGGAATATATTTAGGAATCAATATGACCCAAACTTTGAATAATCTCTTTTCTCTTTGGAATTCTCTGGAATGGTTGGCTATTTCCAATTCTGCTTAGGTTTGTTCCTTCCAGACATTTTCTATACTCTTCCTCTGGAAATGTAAGGCTATGGAGGAAGTTTCTGACTGTAAGACCTTAGAGAAGTTACTTTGATGTTTGAGCCTCATTTCCTCAATGTTAAAATAGGGATAATTAAAATTTGTGAAATCCAATAAAATATTAACTTCTTAGTATATGTCCATATTAATAAGATTTATTGATGGCAAATACCATATAGGAAAATTATAATAATGATATCAATACTAGTTAAAGCACATAAGATGAATTTTGATATGAAAAAGTTACTAGAATATGTAACATGCAGTTTGTATTTTAATTAAAAAATGAAAAGTTCCATGTCAGAATCACGGTGGTATTTTTCTACCTTCTAAGCTTTGCCATTGGTAAAAGATTGCTAGTGTCAAACCAAAGTCCACTCAGAAATTTTTCTCTCTCCATTCTGTCATTAGAGGATGGCCAGAATGGCTGCATAAAATGTCACCTTCAATTCATCTCAGTGTCCGAAAGCTATCCTTTCTCAGCCAGAAACAAAATGAAAGAGTTAACAAGAAGAACCTCTTCAATATCCACTTTGTTTTAAAATTTATAAAGAACTTTCTATTTTTTTCTCTCTCTCACTTGAGCCTTTCTCAAATCTGGGAGGTATGTTTTATTTTTATCAGTTCTAATTTATAGATAAGAAAATAGGTTCCGAGTAAGTGACTAGTTTTCAGGGCTCGACAATTGGTGGAGCCTGGTCTTGAATTTTAATCTTCTGATGAAAGAAAAATAAGCGAATCCTCATGTTCTTTCCAGCACATCATGAAAGCTGGCTGTAGCGGTAAGTCACAGAGAGCTGGGTTTGAATTATGGCTCAACTTCCTAGTGGCTATGATTTTATCACGTTAAGCTTGAGTTCCTCCTCTGTAAATAAGAGTGCTAATCCCTTCAGCATGTGTTAGATGTGAGAATTTAGCCATGAAGTGTGTGCACAGTGCAAGCCCATGCCGAGAATGTCCTTTAAGGCATTCTGCCTCCTTGAACTTTAAAATATTTTCTATGTAGCCTTTGGTTCTCTGGGCAAATTCCAAGTGCACCATTTGCTCAGACATTTATCCCAACCACTCTTCTTTCTTTAGGAAAAAAAAAAAAAAGACCAGTTATTCATAGTCATTCCTTATTCCTTCTCCTCAAGGCTATTTTCTTGACAAACCCCATTAGAGAATAAGCTTGGTAGGTTCCCAGAAACACTGATTTGATGATGGATGGTCTGTCTTCATCCTGGATGAAGAACACTCTGGCCTACATATTTCCTTGCACATAATAAAGAACAGTGATTCATCTGTGGGCAAAGTAGGTGTCATCTGTTCAACATGTAGAAGGGGCCGAGTGGTCTGCTAAACCCTGCGGCCAGTAAACCAGCAGAATGACCTCAGTTAATCCTCCTTCCTCATTAAAGACAGTTGTAGATGATCCCAGATTGGGCTGACACATTCCTTGGCTGTTGAGGAACTAATGAATTTCATAGAAACAGGGAAAACAGGCATAAATAGTGAAGAGGCCATGAGAAAGGCATTTCAAAGCTGTTGGAATCCGTCTCCAAAGTCAACAAAGCTCGGCTTTTCCTCAGAACCATTCTGTTCCTATGAGAAAGGTCCCAATCTCTGGGGAGCCTCTCAGCAGCTAAGTTTATGATACATCATCGGTCATCATGAAGTCAGCATTTATAGCTTTAGCAATGGGTTTTCTATCTGCTCAGGTTTTGGTTTTAATTTTTAATTTTTGTTTTTTGTTTGGAACCCATAGCTACTCTCACAGTCCTGACGTGAATACACAGACTTGGAGTTCTGTCAATAACCTTCTAATCTTTTCTCCAGATTTTTCCCTAAATAATCCATCTCAGCCTTCATGATGTCCTCCTCGGGTTGAACCTTGGTAGATGCTGGCTGGAGCAGAAAGCCTTTTCCTGCCCTTGGGATTCAGAGCAGGATCTCAGCTTTCCTAGGGATCCAACATCAACCTCCAGGCTTGTCTTGCTCCATGCCTTTCCCCATCACAATCCTTCCCAACTCCTAACTTTTGCAGAAGATGGGTTCAAAGTCAGAATAGCTTGCCTGATTCCCCAGAGTTTCCCTTGCCTCATATCTCAGCTCCAGCTTTCTTTTCCAAGGAGCACTTTCTGATATCCAAACTCACATTAGATGGTGGCCTTTTATCTCTTTTCTATTTCCTTTTGAATCTCAACATTTTAAATTGACATAAAAATTGTATATATTTATGGCGTAACCTGTGACACTTTGATAAATGTATACACTGTATAATGTTCAAATCAGGGTAAGCATATCTATGTCCTCAAACATATTTCATTTCTTCATGGTAAAAAGATTAAGGAGCCTTTATTTTAGCTTTTTTGAAACACACAGTACATTATTGCTATCTCTAGTCACCCTACAGTGCAGTAGCACACAGGAAACTTCTTTCTCCTAACTCTGACTTGGTAGCTGTTGTCTTTCTTTTGATTATTGAGCACTCATTTGTGCTCTCAATTATAACAATTTATGATATGCTATTCTTTTTTTTCTTCCTTTCCTTTCTCTCTTTTCTATTTTACTGGTGTTAAACTATTACCAGTCTCTGTGTCTTACCTAAAAGTTAGATCTTTGAGGCCAAAGACCATGTCTCATCTTTTCTGGTTTTCCTCTTGGTCCAGCTTCTACCACACTGCTGGGCTCATTTTAATAAATACTTTTATAATCCTAGATACAAGTATTTATTAAAATAATAATGCTAGATCAAGCATTCATTTAAAGCTTTCAGTGTCTTTTTCTGTCTTTGTTATAATTACTAAATATCCGTTAAACTTCATGTGATCTAGAATTAAATTGCTTTGGAAACTCAAAAACAAAATAAAACCAAAAGAGAAAGAACAAGAAGGGAAAAAATGAACACACACAAAGAAAATGAAGTCATTGCTTTTGCTATATGGTTACTTCTGGAGAGTGCTAATGTGAATGACAGCTCTTCCCTAGGCATGCTCTGTAATGAAGAGGGGTGGTTTTGTCCACGTGCTTTAGTGTCTGCTCCCTCTTCCCTATTCTGGAAGTCTCTGGCCTCGTTCTTGACTTCATTCTCTCTCACTGAGACACGGCACTGACTTCCTTTCTGCTTGACTATATTTCATTTTCTCCATTCTACCTATAGGCATAAAGAATCTTTCTGAATTACAGATTCATCAAACCACTCCTCTGCTTAGAAAGGTTCAGTCCTAAACACTACTTTTGAATTAAGTCTCACTTTTGTGGTCTGGCATTTTAAACCACTGAATATATGGCCCCAGTCTGTTTCCATCTTTAACACTCTCTGAATAACCCCTACTCTCTGTCTTCATCGAACCCCTTACATCCAGCACACAGTGATTTTCTTGGCCAACCTCCCAACTTTTGCCAGAAAGTCTCACATTTCACCCCTTTGCATTTAAATTGTACTTTTCCCTTACTGACCAATTTAACATTAACATCGCCTTCCCTCCCTGATCACAGGATGAAGGGATTCTCCTTTCTCTGAATGCCTACATAGCACACTCTAGTGGCATGTATCACCCTCCATCTTGCATTGACTTATTTATACATATGCATTCATTTACAGTTGACTTGAAAACAAAACTTTGGGGAAAGTTGTGCAGGTTCTAGTGTCAAAAAAAGGAATATAGTCTTCTGATGAAAATATAATAAGTCTTCAAACAAAAAAGTATAGTATATCAAACATGATAATGGATGTTAAATAACCCTGAGAGGTCAGATGAAGATTGGCCTAGATCTGTGCAGAGACTCTCAGGGGAGTGCTCGAATTCCAATATAAAATATAGATAGGTGTGAAGTAGCCAGGTGGAGAGACTGTGTGTGCTGAAGTGGTGAGAGAGTGAGGGTTGGTGGAGTAGAAGCAGACAGCACAGTTGGAAAGCTTGGGGTTAGAAAAGAGACAGACACATGAGAAAGTAAGACATGTTTGAGGAAAGACAAGTTATTTATTTTGACTAAGCAGGATATGCTGAGCGAGTAGCTACAGAAAAGACTGGTCAGGTGGTCAGGGAATAGATTTTCCCTTGCTAAAGTGTTTGGAGATCATCCTGGTAGCAGTAGAGGACCCCTGAGGGCTTTTGATTAGGGAATTATAAGATTGTGGGTTGGACTTGGCAGTGGAGTGCAGGAAGGATCAGGGACACAAAGATACTGTAGGCAACCTCATGGGGGATTGATGTCAGATGCATCTTGGTATTTTCTGATTGTGCTTAGTATAGTGCCAGGCACATGGTTTATATAAAAATTGTATTATTTGTTCAAGAAATGTAAGAAAATGAGGTGTCCATGTTTAGACTAGAACACAAATGGAAAGGGAGGGCTCTTTACAGTTCATACCTCACCTGTATTACTCAGATCACACAGATACAGGGCATTTTCCAGCTTTCTGAACCTGTCAATCCACGTCTCACATTCTTCAGAGTGGTTCTTCATGGCCCGACTGAGGAAGGGCTGGGAGACTGGCCGGATCTTCAAACTGCTTGGAGGATCTTTGGGGGTTGGAGTCTCAGCAGGAGGGTTTCCTGGATTCAGCTTCTCTTCTGGAGTTTTCTACCAAAATAATGCAAGCATCTCACTGGCAGCACATTCACCACCCAGAGCTTCTCCAGTCTCTTGGCCAAAGATGAGGCCACACAACTAGGAAGATTTATTGCAAGGTCTGGCTTTGGAAAGCAAGGATGAGTTTCAAATCCTCACTACCATAGGGCCATATCTGCCAAGTTTTGCTGGATGCAAACATGGTTGAGTTTTTTTTTTTTTTTTAAGAGAAGGTGACATCATCACTTTTATTCAGTTTTCATTTTAGACTTACACAAAGCAAAGAACTGTATAAGTAACTGGCTGAGACTTTTCCTTGAGGTTCTATTCTAATAGTGAAGGCAGAATTACACAGGCAGTCAGTATAGATAAGTCAATCGAGTCAGGTCAGATCAAGGAGGCCAATGTGAGTGAGTCCAGGAATTTGGAGACTGCCCCAAGAGGGACTGAAATGTCTTCAGAGCCCTTCCTCCACCCTATGAAGATAACATGCCCCTGCTCCAATATGATGCTAAGGTAACTTGTCCTAGGAATTGCCCCCGCTCCCACATTGAGTTGTAAAAGTTGTTAATTAAAGTGTCCTGGGCTGCTCCATCCTGCCCTTCCCCCTTCAACCCACCTGTTTCCCACCTTTTGGCCATCCCACCGAGCATCTCCAGAGCTTTGTCACATACACAGGAAGGAGAAAGATAAGGGGAAGAGAGAGGAGAGCAAAGGATTTGCAAGAGAGTGTTTCCAGGAAAAACAGAGCTGGTCATATCAAACTCTCCCTATGTGGAAGGTGGTGTTAGGAAGTCTTAAATGGCAATGTTTGGATCCATTTGTCTATTTCATTCTAAACACATCTCTATTTTGTACTGGACATAGGATTAGGATACCTAGGTTAACTCACCTCCATGTCTGTTTATAGTCTTGGGTCTACCCTAAGATCTAGGCAATCTCAGTAATTGCCTATAAAAAACATATAAAAAAGGGCAGAATGTCTTGCTTCTCAGGATAACAGGATACCAGTTATGGTCCCCTTCTCCCTTCTGGGAGAGGTCTTTGTTACCCCTTTTTAATAAACCCTGCTGTATATGCTTGCCTTGGCGTGCTTCTCTAATGTTATTTACGTCAACATGTGAGGAAGCAGAACTCATCACTGGTAACTGGAGGTATCAATAGTACTACTAGTAGGATCTACTGAGGATAGGTTTCTGGCAAAGCTTAAATTTTCTTCTGGATTCTGAGTGTGACATTTTTTGGCAAAAAGTGATTGAAGCAATAGTGATATTATCCTAGGCTTACCGGGCCCCTTGAAGGTCTATTAAAACACCTCTAGTCTGCTGGTCCTGTTCATTTAACACAGGAAGCTGAGGCCCAGAGAGTGCAAGTAAATTACTGAGATTGCCTAAGATCTTAGGGTAGACCCAAAACTATAAACAGACATGGAGGTAAGTTAACCTAGGTATTCTAATCCCATGTTCAGTACAAAATAGAGGTATGTTTAGAATGAAATAGACAAATGGATCCAAACATTGCCATTTAAGGCTTTCTAACACCACCTTCCACATAGGGAGAGTTTGATATGACCAGCTCTGTTTTTCCTGGAAACGCTCTCTTGCAAATCCACATAGTTGTAGAGAGAATTACCACATTTCAGCTGCACAGTTCAGCACTGGGCATCTGGTGCAAAACAGGCAAATAGACCTATTGTTCAGGAGTTTGGGATCTATTTGTGAGAACGAAAGATAAAGGGAGAAGCACAGATCATTCTGTGTGAGACCTTAAAACACTAGCAGATTTTCTCCCTGTGCATTGGAAATGAGAAAAAGCTGGTCAGTCAAGAAAGAGAAGATGAAGTTGACAGTAGAGAAAAGAAAAAAATGGGAAGTCTTAACTGTGTTCGAAACCCTGGTTTCATTTACTGTTGCATTGTTTTCCTTAGGTAATAAAATAAATTTCCCTAGCCTTCCAATTAATTAAATTTTTAAAGTTGGTTATGTTCATTGTAATCCAAATAATTCTGATGCACCATAAAATTATACCTCTAATTTTTGAATACCATCTGTGTCCCGTAAACTTTCAAATGCCTGAATTTTTCCAATTTTGTAAGTTTGTCTTAAACTTCCCACACATAGGCTGCAAAAATTCCATACTTCTAAATAATATTTATTGCAATAGGAATTACCAAGTCCTGCATTAACTAAGAAACACAAATTAAGCTGTTGCAGGGGTATTTAAAGAACCATTTTCTTTGAAATAATAGAACACAATACAAAATTACACCCACATGGATGACAAGAAGCCAGTAAGTTTTAAGGATTAATTAATATAAAATAACTCCTACAATGACAAAATCAATTTTTGGAAAAGTAGAATGTTTTCATACAGTAGATGACTGATTCTTACGCATTTTTAGAGCTGTGGACCACTTCATAAATCTGAAGAAAGATTTAGAAAATCTGCCCAAGTTAATGTATATTTGGTTATATTTTCATGGATGATTTTGGAGAGATCAAGGTGATCATGGATCTGAAAAATCCAAAAATTCTCTGATGTTAAATAGTTTTATATTTCTCTAGAGAGTTCAACTCTCTTTGACCATTAAAGAAAGGGGAAAGTGGAGATTTGTATGGACCTGAATTAAGCTCAAGTAACTAACTAACTAATAACTAACTAACAACTAACTAGCTAACTAACAAACCAACATGCCCTATACCATTCTCATCCCACTGTGTCAGGATTCCTTGCTTTTGTCTCTCTACAGTGTTGGCCCCTCCTCCACCAGAGGTATATTGATGTATCCTCAAGGTCCTGGAGTGCCTGGCACTGAGTAGGTTCTCAAGGCATGTTTGATGACTGAATAAGTGAGGGAACGAATGAATGATTTTCTCTACGAAAATAGAAAAGTTGCTTTACCAACTCTGTGCTTTAGTTCTTCTTCTTTAAAAAGTGGGACAATGAATGCTGCTCATACAAGAATGTGAGAAGAATCAATTATTTCAGAGATGCAATAAAATCCTCAAACAAGAGGCAAAATAAAAGAGCAAAATATATTTTTTACAACCTTATTCACAACAGACTTAACACTCAAGGAGAAAAGCATTTGCTGTTGTTTCCTGCATAGCAAGAGACTTGCCAAAATGATTCTGTTTTCTAAAATATTTCAACGTGTGAAGTGCATGAAGAGGCCTCCCGTCATTTTAAGATGAATTATGTTCTAATCCGGGCATTTAAAAAACAACAACAATAGAAAAACTCAGGCTGTTTTTCAATTCTACAACATCTCCTGGCTAAATGCTGGGAATATTAAAATGGATTTTAACTGCTTGCCAGATTTTCTTTCTTTCTTTTTTTTTTTTTTTAAATCAGAGAGCCTGCTATATTTTAAAATGTGATGCCTGAGGAAAAGGTCACCGTCAGTTTCTGGAAGCTGGACTTGAGATGTTAAAATAGGTCTCATCTCTACCCTTTGTCTTGATGGCAATTGGCTGATGGGCCACAGCTTTGGGAGAACTCTTGCACATAGGCAATGGGTGTAATTTCTTGGGGAAGGTGGCAAACTCTTTAACTACTGATGGCGAAGGTTTCTGGCAAACTGGAAAGGAGGTGACCACACTCTTGGAGTTCCTCTGCCTTTCTTCTCTGCCTGAGAAGTCTGGGAGTCAGTCTGACATCAAGAGATTGGGTGGAAATCAGAAACCCACAGGCGAGGCCCCTTCAACATCAGAGAAGGGAAGATGAGGACCTTCCCCACGCATGCTCTGTGTACCCCAGGTGCATACCATATGTTCAGCTTTGCTTTGAGATATCTCAGAGACTTCAGGCTGCTCTGGAATGGCAGGGGCTTCCTTTTCATTCTTTCCTAAACAAGAAACAATAACAGGAAGGGTTTGGTTTGATCTTCATTTAACACACTCACATAGACACCAGGCCAAAAAAAAAAAAAAAATACTGAGGCTCTGTGTGTGGCTGGCACTGTGTTAGGTGATGGGGACACATTATGAATGAAAACCTGGTTCCCACCCTGATGCACCTCAGACCAGGAGGGATGCCAAATAATTACTCAAAATTGTTATTTAACTGCAAGCTACCATAAATAATTCAAAATACAAATATAGGCACGTAAGAAAGCACTTAAACTTATTTTAGAGCAATGGCAGGAGAGGTGGGGGTCAGGGATGGCTTTTTGGAAACAGTGACACAAATTGTCAACCTGAGGGATGAGTAGATGTCATCTAGACCAAGGTTGTGCTCATGGTGCCTATGGAGCAGAGAGTTCCAGAGCAGTTGAGACAACAGCTTGCAGAAAGGCCACTTAATCCGAAAGGCTGGTCTCACTTAGGGAGTGGTCAGGGGCTTCTTCCTGTGAGCCTGTCTCTTAAGAATCAAGCACTTCCACCACTCTTTCCTTGTAGGTATGCACCTGAAAGGTCAGGCACAGACTTCTCTGCTCCCTTCAATGGCCTCAGCCTTATATAGAACGAGGTGTGAACAGTGACCCTCACCCAGGGCATTCTACTGGGTACTCCTCCCTGCAGGCTGCTGCCTTCATGAACAGGCTTCCTTCAGATGCCAGAAAGACCTGCTGCTGGGTTCACCAGGGCTTCCTGCAGACACCACGCATTCATCACTCAGCACCTTCCATCTGACTTGGTGACTTGCTTACGTTGCTAATCCCTGTGGTGACCACTCAGCACAGATTTCTGGGAGCCTCAACTTCAATATTCAGTTCATAATTCAAGTATGCCATTAAATATGTATTATTTCTGAGTTGGGTCTCATTATTTTCAATAAACTTATCCTATGAATAAATATTAAAGTTAGGAGGAGGCAAATAACACAGGGGTTGAGAGCATAGGCTCTGAGGCCAGATAACCTTTCTTTATTAGCTACATGACCTGGGGCAAGCTGCTTGTGCCTCAGCTGCTGCTTCTGTAAAATGGAGGTAATGAGACCTACAGGTTATTGACAGGATTAAATTGGATTACAAAGTGTAAAGCAAGTACCCGGACTATAGCAAGGGATCAATAAAGGTAAGTAATAGTGCTATCTAGGTAAGGATGTTTTCATAAATCAATTAACAGATCAGATTTAAAACACTTTTGTTAGACTTTTAACATTGCAACCATGAATCATTATGAATCTTCTTCAGTTTCTTGATGGAGAAGACAATGTAATTTTATATTATTCTCTGAAAGCCCAGACCCCAGCATTAGAATAAGTATTCAAAGCATGCTTGTTGAATAACGGAATAATCATATATTCTTTGTTTGGAATTTGGAAAAGAGTGTGACATATGTATCAGGAGATATATATATATATATATATATACTATATATATATTCTTTGTTTGGTTCTCCAATTCCTTTCTTATCCTTGAAGAGGAGAGAATTTTCTTGCATTTTTTCACTCTCCCATACCTAATGTGGAAGCCATATATGGTAAGCCTTAATAGAAGCTTAGCAAGCATCATGATGGTAGCCAGTAAGGGCAGCACCTTCCAGGCAGATCTTATTTGATATGTTGAAAATTTAAGTTGTCATGGGAACCCACATCACCTAGTACACTGGCCCCAGCTCATTTCACCCAGAATATGAAAGAAAAGCTTTCTGTTTATTGCAGGGTAAAAGGTTCAAATTACTCCAAATCATGGAGTTAGATGGTTAAAGGGATTCTAGAAGCTGTATATAGCATGAACAGGCAGGAATATGAATTTCAGGGTTAGACAAACCTAAACATCAACCCTGATTTTTTCTTTTACCAGCTATAGGATATCAGATCAGTTCTTTCATTTGTGAAATTATAGTCATTGTGAGATAGAAACTATTTACATAAAATACTTAACCCATTGAAGATGCTCAAAATACAGGGTCTTATTTGTTGTTGTGTTATTACCGGCCTTAAGCCAATCTAATTCCCCCAGAGAAGAGGACCTATTATTGATTACAATATACCAGAACTTTTTCTGGACATTGATCATTGAATTGTCTTCTTAAAGAATAAGATCTAGAACCTCGACTTTGTCCCAGTCTGGTTCTTCTCTTCTGTCTGCACTTTTCAAAATTTCCATTAAGAGAAAATACAGTGCTCCTCTACTTGGTTTCTTTTAAGCTGCCCCTTTTCCTCCCTTGTAGCTAATAGCATATAAAAGGTAATGGTTTGCATATGTAAAAATTGTTTGAAAGGCCTGAGGCAGAGCTCTATTTTTTTCCCTTTCCTTTTTTTTTTTTTAAGCACAGCAGGAAGGATAAATAATAACCATCTGTCTAGTCTGCCAGTTGAAGATTTGTATTGGAGGAAATAAGCCAAGCTGGCTTCTAGAGATTTCCAGGTGTGGGAAGGGCCAGGTTTTATAGGGCTTCCAGTGGATTCTGATGGTTACACAGCCAGCCCTCCTGTCTGCCCCCACTAATGACTTGAAATCAGTGGTCTTCAGAAAAGGCTGCATGTTAGAGCCACCTGGGGAGCTTTAAAACTTACTAGTGCTCAGGTGTCACACCAGACCAATTAAATCACAAACGTGGGGGATGTGGGGGTGGGGGGGGGGAAGAGACCCACTTCAGCAGTTTAAAAAAAAAATCCCCTAGATGATTCTAAAGTGAAACCAGGGTAGAGGATTACTGATTTAAAACAAAGGCTATTGGCCTCATTGGATTTACTGAATGAAGATTTTGTGAGAAGGAAGCTAATATGGGTCAAATATCTATAAAGGACAGTCATTTCCCATATTATCTAAAGAATAACCTGTGAGGTAGAAATTATCCCCATTTGACAGACCAAGAGTAGATGAAAGCCTATGTTTCCAACTCATTCATTCATTCATTCTGAGAATATGTGTTAGGTGCTTTCTAAAGGCTAGGCATTGTCCTAGGTACTATGTCAAAACACTGACCAGGAAAGAGTCCTTTCAAAGTGAGTGCATTCTTGTAATGAGGGCCAACAGACACACACAAAAAAACAATGCCAGGTCTGATTAAGTGCTGTAAACATGATGTCAGTTATGGGGGTGGCAATTACTAACTTGATAGGGAATTCACCCAAGGCCTTTGAAGAGGTGATAATTAAGTAGAACCCTGAGCAGAGGGGAGTCAAGGGAGCAAGTAAGAAAAATATCTGGGGAAAGTACATTTGAGGAAAATGTTACAGCAAGTAGAAGGCCTCCAGGCAAGAGTGCTTAGGCAGAACAAGAAGGGAAGAAAAGTGGGTTAAGTGTTCATGGAACTAAAGGGTATCATGGGCCATGTCATGTGACTAAAGTTTTATTTATTTTTTTTCTTTCCAGCATTCATTTCTTCCCTGGTGATTCTCCCTTTACTACCTCCTCTGGCAAAAGCAACTGTATTTTGTTTTGTGGGGCTCACTCTTCCCTCTTTACAGTGTGCATTGTGGTTTAGTAGGGTTGACCTCCAGTTCCAATTCTAAGCTTGGTCTCTGACTAATTTAAGTTTGTCATTGTACCCTCATATCCCTCACATCAATTTTGGTTCTAAGATGGGCATAAAACTCAATCTGAGCTTCTGGATGGAGAGAAGATAACTGCTGCTTATAGATAGTAAAGGTTCCTCCACCTTGGCAGCACCTACCAAAATAGTGCTGTGTCATAGCAACCTTAGCTTTTCTGTTATTGTGAAAGGAGTGCTTGGAGTAGTCAGGGGAGTGTCACATGAAGCCCAAAGATGATGCCCACACCAGGTAAAGCAGAACAGAGAACCCAAAGAAGGAAAGCACATTGCTAATTTGGACATTTGAATGGCTAGATCAAAGATCTTGCTGCTATGAGACATTTCAGCCAAATAATCCACTATATCTTTATTGGGTAAACCAAGTGAGTTGGCCTTTATATCCCTTTAATGTAAATAGTTGTAACTAGTAATTATATGGATTTCTTTCCTTAATAAAACAGAGGCCAATTTGTCACCATTTTTATGTTTTATGTCTATAGTGATAAGTTTTTATGAATGTTGGAGGGAACTCAATGAACCTTTGTGGCTACTTTTCATTCCCTCCAAATTTTCCCCTCCAAGTTTTTTCAGTTTGACTCCTTGCTTACATATTCTCCTTCTTTGCTTCCTCACTCAGTCTCTGAAATGAGGAGATTCAAATTTGGAGCCATACATAATTTTTGGGAAATACCTTTGATCTTAGACCATACCATGTTTGGTGGATCCTAAACTCTTTTTTTTTTTTTTTCTTAATGGGAGTTCATAGCATTTCTTGGATCTGTGGCTTGAGATCTTTCATCACTTTTGGAAATTTCTCCTAATTTCCTCAAGTATTGCTTTAGATCTATTCTCTTCCTCTTGCGCTTCTATGATTTCAGTTACATGTATGTTGGATAGTGTCACCATTCCCTAGATATCTCTTACATATTTTTTTTCATATATTCCATATTTATTTCTTATTGATATTTCAATTTGGATATTTTCTACTGAACTATATTTTAATTAACTAATCTGTCTTCAGCTTTGTCCAATCTTCTCTTAATCTCTTTGAGTTTTAAAAATATAGTTTTAATATTTTTCAGTTTATATAGTCCATTCAATTCCTTTTGTAGGTTCTAAAATTCTTTGTTGAAAATTCTCCATTTTTTCATTCATTTTCTTGAACATAATTAATTACAGTTATTTCAAAATCTGTTTTCTGCTTGCATTGTTACTGATATTTTTAAATAGAAACTGAAAACTCCATATGAAACACACAGAGCTTTAGTGTAATGTTTCTTCTTGATTCCTACAAAGGATCAAGAGGACCTTTTCATCCTTCTGTTTGGTAGTTTAATTTGAATTCCAAGTAAAAGGCTTCAAACAAATATTCTTATGTATTTTTATTTAATCTTCTAGTTGTTCTTGCCAAGAGATTTGGTCAGCGGCTAATTAGTCTAATCTTGTCATTAGTGCAAATCACTGATATCGAGTATTTATGTGAAAATCATATATGTACATTAAAGAATAAGGGTGCAGGATTTTTATGATAACAAAGGAGATGAAGTTTATAATAAAAGGCAGCATATATAAAATGAGTAATTTTGACCAAGTTATCATAGCACCTTTGAGTCAAAAGAAGAAAATGTACAATTTTATATACACCTAATGAGTAAGTTTCTTTTTTGTATGATCCTCTTCCCTTTTAAAACATTTGCTTGTGGGCAAGAGAACATACAAATAAAATGGCTCACTCCGTACTTCAGAACACTTAACAATCTTAGTCCTAGTGATATAGAAATGGGAAGAGACCAAGATATTAACTTAGTAGGCAGTAAACTATCACACAAAGTGACAACAGCAACATCACCTCAACAACCTTGTTGCTCTGGAGAGTCTCACATGGACTAAAGGGTTAGGAAGCTGGCATGTGCCTGTAATTGCAATGGCTCAGGAGGCTGAGCAACAGGATTAAAAGTTCGAAGCCAGCCTCAGCAACTTAGCAAGGCCCTGAGCCCCGTCTCTAAATAAAAACACGAAAAAGGCTGGGGATATGGCTCAGTGGTTAAGTGCTCCTGGGTTCAATTCCCAGTACCAGAAAAAAAAAATGATATATTGCCTATGTTGTTTATCAGATTCACAGTCACTCTGTCAGATCAACAGAACAGGTTTTCTTTCTTCCCTGCCCTTTTCCTTACTTTTCCCCCCTTTCTCTCTCTCCTTCCCTTCCTTCCTTCTTTCTTAATTTCTCTTTCTCAGTTTTAGAGATGAGAAAAAAATAAGTTGGAGTGAAGTAAAACAAGTGATCCACACAAGGTGATTTAGTTGCAAAAGTGATACTTCAACCTGTATTTTACATACTATCCAGCTATGCTATGTGCTATGAACTAAGTTGTGTTACCCAACATTTATATATTGAAGTCCTAATGCCCAGTACTTTGAAATGTGACTGTGTTTGGAGACAGTGTCTTTAAAGAGTTGAATAAATTTAAATGAGACTGTTAAGGTAGGTCCCAATCTAATCTGACTGGGTATTCTTATGAGAAGAGGAAATCTGGACGCCGAGAGACACCAGGGATGCACCCACACAGAGGCCATGTGTGGATACAGCAAGAATCTGTCCAGAATTGGGGCGTGGTTTTAAATATTCTTAGCACTAGCTATGTGTGAAACTTCAGAGGTTAGGTTAACAGCCACAGGCATACCTTCAGTAGCCTCTGTATCCCTTCAGTAGACTATATATATTGACTATATAGTTTTTTTCTTTCTTTGAATTGTTTTTAATAAATAATCAGGTAGTTTGTAGAACAACAGGTATACTAACCCTGAGATTAAACGCAAGGAAACAAAGAGATTCGAGCACAGCCACCTTCTTAGAGGTTTGAACTCCAAACCAAGTGAAACTTTTAGAACCAGCTGTATGTCACCTCTGAAATCCTTTCTCCAGGTTACTTGGCATTTTCTTAGATCCTGTGTAGGGGCACTAGTTCCTAGATTTTGATGTAGTGTGCATTTCTCTTTGTTCTTTCAGCCTGAAGGGTGAAGCTGCTTTCTACAGTTACTAAGGTCGGGATTACCTCGTTGTGGTGGATTGAATTTGTCCCCAAAGAATATCCATGTCCTCTCCACCGGTACCTGTGGATCTGCCTTTAGTTGAAAATAGCCTTTGTGAATGTAAACAAGTTGAAATCATTCTAGATTAGTGTGGGCGTGAAATTCAATGACTGGTGTCTTTATAAGAGAAAAAAGAGGGATATTTGGATACAGAGACCTAGAGGTAAAATGAACAAAGCTATGTAAAGACATGGACCAAGATTGGAGTTACACAGTAACAAGCCAAGAGAGGCCTGGGACCACTGGAAATTGAAAGGGGCAAGAAAAGACTCTTTCCTAGAATCTTTGGAGGGGGCATGGATCTAATAACACCTTAATGCTCTAGTCTTCAGAACTGTGTGAGAAGATATATCTGTTTTTTCTGCAATTTGTTACAGCAGCTTGGAAAAATGAATACATTCTTCATTCCCTTTTTTATTCTTTCAGCCTGTGATATTCATATAACCAATCCACTGTAATGAATCCCTCTGATTGAAATACCTAGTAAATTTTCTGCTTTTCTACTTGGATGCAGACTGATATATTCATTCTCTCTCTCTCTCTCTCTCTCTCTCTCTCTCTCTCTCTCTCTCTCTCTCTCCCACCCCCCCCCTTATATTTTGATTCAAAGGCAGTCTGTAAGTATTTGATGGTTGTAGTAAATAGAAAAACTACAACAGTGGATTGATATCAATGTAAATTTTTTTCACCTGTCATATTTAAAACTTGCAAATTGCTAAATATTTTGCCCAGTTCATTTTGATAAATTCACTTAGTAATATGTCTTGGAAATCTTCCTGTAGCTGTTTGGTAATATAATTTTACAATTACTTAATTTTATCAATTGGTTGTATTGTGATCTAACTAAATGGTCCCCAAAGGATCATTTGACTTTTTCCATTGAAAAAATTACCAAAAAACACTGTACTAGATACACACACACATGTACACACACATACAAACATATATTTTGAATTTTTTTTAGTGAGACAAGTAGAATAAATACCTGGCAGTAGGATTCCTAGATCAAAGGTACTATGCCACTGATATTTAATAATACCAACTTATTCTGTAAGTGTGCTGCACTCATCTTAAAGGGCTACCACTAGAGTATGCCTTGTGATAAAACTTGAAGAATTATTCCTTTTATAACCCAACTGGCCTAAAAGAATATGCAATAAGGCAATTCCCACTCCTATTTTTCCTTCATTGATGAGCCATCTACATTTCTGGGAGGAATGAAACGAAGCCCAGAGAGTAAACCACTCATGCTAAGCAGCATTATTAACAATAGTGCTGCTCTCAGGAGCAGCAAAATTATGGAACTCACCTGGAGGCAAACCAGACAACAAATCAGAAGAAGCTCTGCTCAGCAACTCAACAAAATTCTGCCATCTGTGTAAGAAAAAGAAACATAATATTGCTGATCAATATCGTTGCCCTGGAAGTATATGCAGCAAAGCACTAAATTTATACTGGTTGGTAGAGTGATGTTGAAAGAACTTTTTGATATCTGTGTCATTCCTGGTTCAATGTAGGAAATAAACTAATTTATTTCTATTAGAAAGTATAGGGAATTGAGTTCCCCACCATCCCAATCATTGCAAGGCTAGGATATCACAGATTGGTGCTAAGAATTGGGTCAGGACTCAGAAAATGTGGTTCAAAGATTGAGGAACCACAGGACAATCTGGCTGATGTCTCAGTTGCTGCTAGTCATGAAGTTGATGACTGTAGTACCAGGTATATTCTGGCCACTGGAAAAACTATGTTGATACACTATAAGAAAGTAAATACCTAAACTGGCTCTGCACCTCTATCCCTCCTCCCCCTCTTCTGCCTCTTAAATCTTATCTAATTGCATTTCATTAAATAAGTTAGATCAATTTTGAAATCTTTGTGTCAAGGGGATTCCAGAAATGTTGAAATGTTCCTTTTGGCATTCAGGATTATGGAAGAACTGCAACACAGAAGAGGATGGAGAAAGGTGTTAGGGGAGAGATAAAGGGGACAGATAAATATTATCTAGTAGGTGATATTTAGTAAATTGCCCAAGATGAAATTGCATTGGGCAATATGTCTGAAAGTGTCAATCAAGTAGTTATTAAAAGCTTAAAAGTACTCCAGCAAAGCTTTGGTAGAAGAGACCACTAATATGTGTTTGCTGTTATGGTTTAGATATGAGGTGCCCCCCAAAAGCTCATGTGTGAGACAATGCAAGAAGGCTTAGACTAGGTGAAATGATTGGGTTATAAAAGTCTTAACCCTATTAGTGAATTAATTCTCTGATAGGAATTAACTTGATGGTAATTGTAGGCAGGTAGGATGTGGCTGGAAGATGTTGGTCCCTGGGGGCTTGCCTTTGGGATATATATTTTGTCGTAGTTAAGTGGAACTCTCTCTCTCTCTGCTCTCTGGCACCATGTTCCTAGCTCTGCCACAAACTTCTTCCATGATGCTCTACTTCATCCCAGGTCCTGAGTAATGAAGTTAACAATCATGGACTGAGACCTCTGAAATAGTCAGTCCCCAAAACCTTTTTGTTCTTGTTCTTTCAGAATTTTTGGCCACAATAGTGAAAAAGCTGACTAAAACGTTTGCCTAATACCACCCTCTATTTAAATATAAATATGCTCTTCTTTGGAGTAATAAGCACCCACTTTCCTGCACATATTATGGTTAGGACTATATTTAAAGTCTCATATCCTGCTTCAGCCAGTGTTCAGACGGACCTTTTCTAATTAATCTCAATCTGTCACTTACACTATAACTTCCCTTCTCCCCTCTCTTTTTTTCCCCCTCTGTCTCAATCTCTGTCTTAAATTTTTGGTTTTGGTCCTTTTTGAAGGTTTATTTTTTCTTCAGTTTTCTGAATTAATATTCTTTAAAAAGAGTCTTTTTTTTTTTTTGCTAGTGTTAGCAAAAGACAGGTTTTCTTGCTAGGTACCAAATTGCAAATAATATTAATTCTGATCTTTGTCTTGCCTATCATAAGAAGTTCAGCAAAAATAAAGAGGGAGTTTTGAAATACTTGTTCTGGGTTTTCTCAAAGCGTTCTAATGTCATGTGATTTTATTCTATTTATATAAAAATGATTTCTTAAATATGTACCTAATTCATTTTGTTTTCCATCATAAAACTTTTTCTATACACAATATCATGAATCAGAAACATTCTTTGGTCAATATATGTGCTCTGATAAGAATTTTAGAAACGTGTCCTTCAGAGCTTCACGTCAGGTGTGGTGTGCAGTGTGGCAAGTCAGATAAGCTGGTGACTTTACCAGCTGCTACAGGTCTAGGAAGGTAAAAGAAAATTGGAAAAGAAGTAGCACTCTCTAACACTGATAATCATATAGAGATATGACATTAGCACAGTTCTGGAAATAAATTGCAAAGAAGCATTTCCTGTTATCTGCTCTCCTTATAATGGCTTTCTAGACCCTCTTAGGAAGACTAGGGCTTATGCCAAGAGCATCTTCCCATCCTTTGATAACAAAGCTCAACAACCCAACACCTAGGTCCATTAACACTTGCACACGTCCTATTGTTCTCAGGGTTGTCAGGAGCTATCAGGTAGTGATCTTCTAGATGTCATATATGAGGTAAGGTCCTTGGATAAAATGGCACCACAAACTCTCTTGCTCCTTCTTAATCATATGCTAAGAGTGGGGTAAGAAGATTTGGGGAAATTTTCAAAGTACTGAAGTTGAGCATCGTCTTATTTAAATGACATATAAAGACTTATGTGACTACTAACATTCTAAAGAGCCTTCCAGTAAAATATTCCCTTTCTCTCCATTTTTTTTCCATTACTCCAAGACCTTCAAAGAGACACTCATGATTTAAATGGGTTTATGGGTTCCACTGTCAGGAGGAGTGACAGTGTCAAGTCCCCACTGATAGTGTCAAGTCAGAGAGGTTGGGACTGGAGAATAAGGCCTGTGAGCCTAGTTCTAGATTCAGGTAAACATGAGTTCAAACTCTAAGTGAGTTTGTCAAGTTAACAATAGCGTTTAGCGAGTGATCCAAGTACTTTCTGTTCATTATTTCATTCAATGGAGATAGCCACCCTATGAGATAAGTAAATGACTTGACCAAGAACACATGGATTGCAGGGGCATCCAGGATTACACCCTGGCTGTTTGACTCCAAATCCACATGGATTTATGCAATTTGGCTTCAGTTACATGTTTTTACTCTTTGAAATTCCATGGGTGTGGCTTTAGTATTTTCTAAAATTTATTATTGCAGAAGTCTGTCTGAGGTCGGCCAGATTTTTGTCCATTGATAATTATATTTTTTCCCATTATTTGCTGTAGTTTAGTTTTATTCTGTTTTTGGCCAGGATCTTTGACTTATTTTCTTTGTCTTAATAATACAAAAGTTTTATTGGGATAGACATGGGTACATTTTTTTCTTCCATAATTTCTCAGAGTTCATGGTGAGACCTTCAATCTGTATACTTTTTTTTTCCAGCAGTTTTCAAAATTTTTCAGTTGTGGTCATGGTTTGAGTGGGTCCCCCAAGGATTTGTATGCTGGAATCTGGGTCCTCAGTGTGGAGGTGCTGAAGCAGTAGAACTCTAAGGGGTGGAACCTAGTGGAAGGGGATTAGGTTAACTGGGGGCATCTCCTTTGGAAGTGATGTATAGCTCTGGGAATCTGGTTAATTTCCTCGAGAGTGTGTTGTTCTAAGACTGTCCTCCTCACTCCTTGACCTTTGTTCTCACCATGTGTCCTCTTGCTTTCACAAATATTCCCACAATGATGCCATCTGCTATGATACAGCCAAGAGCCCCTCCCCCCCACACACACACCAGAGGCCCAACAGAGGAGGCAGTCTGATCTTGAACTTTCACCTTCTAATACTGCTGGCTCAATAAGCCGTTTTTCTTTATGAAGTACCCAAATTCAGATATTTTGTGATAGCAACAGAAAATGAACTAATGTAATTGAGAGTTTCATTTTTATTTTTTCTCCAATTTTTTTAAATTCCCTTTTCCACAATACCAAGTCCTCTTAGGTTGCATCTCTACTATTCTCATTTTATATCTACTATTCTCTCTCATTTCCTTCTCTGTTCTTTTTCTTCCCTACCTTTTGCAGAAGTCCCTTAAGTTTGACATTACACATTTTCCTCTAGTGTTAATTTCACTTCTTATTGATTCCTGGTTACCTTTTAATTTGCCTAGAGAAGCTTTAGCTTCCTTGATACCATCTGTATTTCCCCAAATTCTTTCTAATTTCTTCTGTTCATTTTTTGTGCTTTTTAAATTTGATTTTTATAGATCTTAAAAATCTCATTATACTTATTACTTTTTAATTCAATTCCGTAGAGACAACGGCTTCTTATATACTGCATAGAATCACTGTGCTTTCCTAAATTATTTTTCTAATTTCTAGAGTAGATCATTTCTAAGCTTGGTTGAGATTTGGAGCCTGCAGGATGATGATTCCCTTTCACATTCTGCGGTATTTTCTTAAATGTTGGTGTTTTTTCTTTACTGGGCTTCAAATGAGGATCTCCTCACATTCACTGTGACCCACAGTTAAGCTGTCTTGCTTTCCTGTGACTGTGTTCCCTGCTCACTTGAACCTCCAGTCAAGGATAGAAGGCAACCCCATTCCATACTGATTTCTCTTAGTCACTTGCCTCATACACCTTGGTAGAATGGAGGTGGGATCTTTTCACCACATTCGTTGAGTACCAGACACTTCAGATTGGTGCAGTATGTCGTATTTTATATACCTATTAGTGTAAACAACTACCATCGGTCTCCTTTTCTCCATTCTAACTCCCATGACTTAATTTTCAGGAATTATACTTCACCATGTGCAAACACCACACATAACCTGGGTTTCCTTTCTCTCCTTGCTCATCTTAACTTTTTGCTCTGTCGTTTTGGGGAGTCATACAGGATATATCTGTATCTCTGAATAGGTACAGAAAAGTGATGTGTGGGTAAATACACAGGTGTGTTTCTTTGGGTAGGGAGGGGTGGGGAAAGAGAAGCAGGGAACAGAAGAACTCAGACTGCTACTATAAACAGCGCCTTTGCAATTTCCTAGTTGGCTAAGACTTGTGGTCTCCAAACCAAAGGGAAGGCCATGGTGAAGGGAGAAAGTATCTTCCACATTTCTTAGAGGCAAGCAGGGTGAAGTGTGGGGCAGGCAACTCATTGATTTTCCCACATTGCAGAAACTCATAGAGGAGGTTCCTGCTAGATCCTGACACTAGAGTTCCTGTTAGTGAGTTTTTCTGCTTATGTGTTTTGGGCCTTTTTCTTTCTTTGTAGGAATTTTTGTCAGGTGCTGTTAAGCAGATGCCTTTTGATAAAAAAGCCTTGTATGAATAAACAAAACAAACCTAAATATACTAAGCACACAAGATGTG